TCGACCATGAATATCTGTATGTATAAAAATCTCGGAACACGAGTGCCGATGGAATAAGTTGTATGCACAATGAAAAGGATTTCTTGTAATGTATTACTTCGGGAGGGAGGGATTATATGCGGTGGAATACACTAAGGGAAAGCTGGGACGGAAAGTGATGAGATGCAAAATGCGGGAGAGCAACATGACAGCGAATTTACAACGAGTAAGAGGCAGAGATAAATTATTGGAGTTAATCTTCATCGTCGCCAAGAGGCGCAGCAGCCGACGAAGCATGGGAGTTTCAATTGGGACCAGCTCCAGGATTGATAGTTGAGTTTGTAGTCTTTTGCAATACCATGAGATCGAAGGAGATATTCCTCGATGGTGGCGTCACAGGTGGCCAGGGGCTCGAGATGGGGTTCGGGTCGCACGGACGGAGAAGGAGGAGAGTCCGCGTCCAGGTCTTTAACGCGTTCGCTATCTTCGTCAGAAGTGAGGGAAGGTGTTGGTGAAGGATGTGGGAGCTAGAGAGATAATATTAACAAGGGGCGCGAAGTTAGCCACAGAAAATGCGACCTTCTTTCCCGTAGGCATTTCCTTCCCACCAAGCCGGGAATGCTCTGCTGCGAGCTTTCAGGCACCGCCCGCGGTGAGTACGCCAGTGGTGCCCGTCGTATGTGCTCTTTTCAGAGAGCTTGGATACGAGAGCCACAGAGCTTGCAGGTGACATAGTTACGGTTCTACGATGTAGGCAAGAGGGTCATTCTTGAGTCTTTGTTCTCGAGCCAACTCTTGCTGCAGTCCTGGCACTAGACGCGATCATTGATACCTTTAGTATTACGAGCTCCGATAGCAACGGGCGAGCATGAACTGACGTGTAATTCGGCAGATTATTGGCATTACTGGCAGGGGGGATGCGAATCCGACTACGAAGAAGGTCAAGTCTGCGGCAGGAATAGAAATGAATTTATACTTACAGAGGAAGGCACACGGTGGTCATTTCAATGTCTAAAGGGAGAGTGCCGAGAGTAGTGAACTGGCAAGAGAAGGGTGGGGAACGAGTGGGAGGCACTTCTGATTGGGGAGACGCGAAACGCGTGAAAAAGGGCTGCGAAAATATTGTTATTACTGTGGGGAACAAGAAACGAGGCGTAAAGTCGCGAAGGGAACGTGTTTGTTGTTGGGCGTGAAGCGGGAAACCTGGAGGCAGACTCCGCAGATGGAGGCAAACCCATTTTATGTCGGCATCTTCCGGGCCAGTCCCGAGCTCCGAGTCCAGGCGTATTATTAGTAAATTCACAACCTCACCGTCGGCAGCGCCAGACAGGCCATTGGTCACACACAGATGAGAGAAATCACCCCAGCCGTCGGCACCAATCATGTACACCTTTGGTGACTTCCGTCGAGATTGTCGAAATCTACACTACTCGTTATATACATACGCTAATTATTATCAGTACAACAAAATTCAATCAAGTACCATTCGTATCCATCAGCTCATCCACCTCCGGCTGCCTATTTACTTTTCCGAGATAATTGGTTAGGATCTCCCTACTAAGTCGATCTGCATCCCTAATCATCTGCATCCTATCGATCTTATATTTCGTTGGATCCACCGAGTGTGACATATCCAGCGTTTAGACCTTCCAGCGACCACAAATGCTTGTTCCTGCCGGTGGTGTCGTCTTTTGTTCTCCCGACTCGTGCTGTTCTCACTCGCTATAGCTTCACGAACAATATCTTGCAAAAGGTGATGCGAAAGGATCCCGGGATAATACCTCCCGCTGATCATGGTGAGCGATATCGTCATTTCGTATCCATCCGTGAGGATGGGTCGAAAGTAGTACCCTTCCGGAGCTTCCGGCAAAAGGTACGGTGAGACAGGGCCGGGCTGCAAATTTGACAGTGGCATTTGGGTGCTCCCCAGGTGACATGGGTCCCGAAGAAATACTTTCACTAGTCGCGGGAGCATTTTCTGTCACCCTGTTAGGATCCTCCCAGTCCTTATCAGCAAGCTCATATAGCACACCACTTGCACGGCATTCTTTCGTCTTTTGCCCCCCAGAAATTCCTTCGACCAAAAACAATCTCTCCAGCTTCATAAACAACCCCCTTGCCCCCGCTCCGTACTCCTTGGGCGATCGGCCTTGCCTGTGACATCGCTCCATTTGTGCTTTCCCGGGACCAGCGGGAGGGAGGATGTGCTGGGTACCTTCTGGTGCCAAGACAGCCCGGAGCGGCTTCAGTCGTACAATCTCGTCCACCCAGATACGCTCAGCGCCCCACCACATGCCTTGGAAATTCATCTGTTCGATGGTCTGTCCTATCACTGGAGACGGACCGAGCATCCCTTCGGTCACAGATTGTAGTTCCTGGGTTGAGAGCCCGTCACGGTAACCGGACGAGTTGAGGGTGGAGTAGAAACCTGAGGATGGCGGTGGAGCAGATATTGACGAAGACCCCGCCTGGTGCAATGCTGCAGCATTCTGACTACTTGCAGCCATAATTGCATCAGTGAGGGAGGATTGAAATTGCTGTGGTTGTTTGGCTGGGTCTTGCGGTGTGAACTTGAGTTGCCACTCGTCAGTCATATTCCAGAACATGGCCAATGAATCCCCTATCTGGAGTGCGTAGGCGTACGCTGACACGACGAACGGCCAAGAAGGAGGTGGTAAGCTCTGTGGATTGCAGTTTTGTAAGGACTCTTGATCGAAATTGAATGCGTCTGGCGAAAGGGATTGTATAAACGAGATTATATTGCTCGGAGGAAGATAGGCTCGGTATGGGAGAACTTGACTGTCGGGAACAGTATATACGCGCGAGACGGCTAAGAATTTGACCTTGTATGCATACGTCTCTCTCACCTCCCACGGAGGCACGCGCACGGGCTGAACGACGGATTCGGATTGTTCGCTGGGTTCGCCCATTTCTACCGGAGGTAAAGATACCGAGTTCGTCCCGTTCTTCAGCTCCGTAACGATTTTCTGAAGTTTAACCTCCTCGATGATCGCAGGCCAAAGCGTAATGTCGTCTGTACCATCCGGAAATGAGATCGGATTGTCCAGCGCTACCCAGACAACTTCCCCTTCCCTGTACCATCGTTTCAGTCGCATCTTATGGGCGTCATGACAATATATGGCCCGGAGATCTTGATCTCGCTCTACGACCATCGCGATTTTGGTGATGTGGCGAGACTGCTTCAACTTTGCAGTCTTTTGAACTGATGCATGAAACCCGACTTTTCGAAGAGCACTCTGTTTTTGCAGCTGACGTGAACGATGCGGCCCGGGAGCGCGGTGAATAGGAGTGAATATGCCAGCTTTGCTTATGTCGGTAGTGATTTCACGCTGCGGTTTCTTGGTGCAGTATTTGCACCCGCAGTTGGTCGACATGTTGCCCGCAAGCCAAATGGCATGAGGAACAAATTCAGCAATGGAGCGAAAACGGCTTGGGCCGCCTGCACGTCCCATGAACATCGAGCGTCGACGAGAACGACTAGAACGTACCAAAGAGGTATATATCATGTCTTGGTGAGCCTCGAGGTCCTTTGTGGTGATCATACATGCGATAACCTGCCGGCCAGTCGAGCAAAACGTAGGAAGGACCCGCTATATTGTGATTAATGACGCGTGTCTCGCTGACATGTTAGAAAGATTACCAGGCCAATTCATCGCATTCGCCATAGATGCACCCAAAGAAACCCGCCACCGGATTGCAATTGAGTTGTCCAGTTCAATTGGCTGCATGAAATTGACATGTCCATCCCGGTCCACGATTTCTGTTGTATTGAGCGGCCAAAGTTCCTCCTTTCCGTCTGAGTAGTCGATAGTTCTGTAAGTGGGGTTCGCTGGAAGCGTGTGTTTGTCAGAGTACTGACGACGAGCCGACATGGAGAGACAGGTGAAAGCGAGATTAGGAAAACTCAGCTGTTTCTGTGGTAATAGTCCGGCAAACAGCGTGCACCGCATTCGAAAAGATCTCCATCAGAGTTCATCAGACTCGATCTTATCTAACACCGACACCAACTCTCTTCAGAAGAATGGAGACCCTCAGTGCGTTGCTCAATACATGCTTAGAAGTCCTTGCACTCATTAGCCAACTGTTACGGTGGCTCCTTACTTGTTAGTACGGTCTGCATTACGTCGTCCGTGGTTTCTCCAGCAGTTTTCTTCCTCGCCCTTCCAGTTCTTATAGGGAGCATACATGCCTTGTGAACTGAGCACCCTTGTAGAAGTTTTGTCACCTATGCTTTATTTGTGAGCTTCTCACGAACTCGAAGCAACCCTCGTAGACATGCCGTCAACCAATCCAGTATTAGAACTTTGCTTAAGAGGGTTCAGGAAGTGAAAAAGACCTGGCAGCGGTACTACCGCTGCTAGGGTACTCCATTTCCTGCCAATTTAATGTAACATAGCCTCAGCGATTTAGATGGTACGTAGGAAGATGGGGTTGGAACTGTGCCGCTAATGGATAAAAAGGCCAGAAAAGTTATTGCATTTTTTCTTACTGGATCTATCCTGAATTTATGCGAGATGATGCAAAGAAAGAAAATCGAACACTGGCGGATTGCGGAAAATATTCGGGAAATGGACTTCAAATTTCCAGCATTTGTGTAGCAAAGACCCTAGATCCAAACAGCCAATATAGCAACCAAGTGATGCATCTTTCGTTCCGCACCCAGGACTGTGTGCATCGTGTGCACAGCTTGGTTTTCCGCTATTCTCGAGCAGTCTGAAAGGTAGTGTACGTTAGAGGCCGATTCACGCATTCTCTGTTAGCACCTTCCCTCTAACTCGGCACCTTTACTCCGCCATTGCTTCTTGGATAATATGTACCATCCGGCGCCTGGACCATCCAGCCCAATAAACCCAGGCATGCACCACCACCAACGTCTCAGTCCCATTCCCGTATCAGAGAACAATGCTGCCAGGCAGCGTCCAGATGACTACGTCTATTTCGAGCGCTCGACGTCCGGCTTCTCTTCAGATGCCGTAGCTCGCTCGACCGCGGCGAAGCTCAAGCTGGTGTCATACTACAAGATGGCGGTGGACTCTGCGATTGAAAGGAATGCACGGTGTGTGTCCGAGCGGACCTGTTGCGCGAGTTCGTCTGATCTTTGATTCCTTTCAGACGGATAGAACTCGAAACAAGGTTAACCCAGACCCTAACTCCCGACGCCAAAGAGCGTGAAATACGGAAATATTCAAAGATGGAATCCCAGCACCTCCGGCTCAGGCGGACCAAGATTAAGCTGGCCGATTTCCGGACAGTCAAAGTCATAGGGAAGGGCGCATTCGGAGAGGTACCATCTGTTAGACGTCGGTCTATCTACGTCAATCTAACGCGTCTCACGTCAAGGTTCGGCTAGTCCAGAAGGTAGACACCGGAAAGGTATACGCGATGAAGAGTCTGCAGAAGGCTGAGATGTTGAAGCGGGATCAGGTATGTCCACATTGTTTTGTTGCTCGCATGTCACTGATTATTTCTAGCTGGCCCACGTACGAGCAGAACGAGACGTCCTCGCCGAGTCCACGTCCCCATGGGTCGTACAGCTGTTCTACTCCTTCCAAGATCCCCTGTATCTCTACCTCATCATGGAATTTCTTCCTGGAGGAGATTTGATGACCATGTTGATGAAATATGACGTTTTTTCTGAAGATGTAACGCGGTTTTACATGGCAGAGTGTATACTCGCTATTGAAGCCGTACATAATCTGGGATATATCCATCGGTATGGTCTACATTGTCCTTGCATGCTTCAGTACTGATCCTTGTCCCAGTGACATTAAACCAGATAACGTTCTCATCGACAAGAACGGACATTTAAAACTATCAGATTTCGGTTTAAGTACAGGACTTCATAAGGTGTCGGACGGAGAGTTCTACAAGCGATTCTTAGAACAAGAGAAGACTCGTGATCCTGCTCGGAACAGTGTGCAAGTCAATCCCATCAATTTAACAATGAGTCGCGAGCAAATTGCCACATGGAAAGCCAACCGACGGAAACTTGTAAGTTCTCAAGGTTGTCTGCTTTTGACTTTTTCATGATTGTTTTAAGGCATACTCGACTGTCGGTACCCCAGATTATGTGAGTGTGATGACTCATAACGATCCGTGCTCTGCTAATAACAAGCAACACTCCAGATCGCGCCAGAAGTCTTCTTGATGAAAGGATATGGAAAGGAATGCGATTGGTGGTCGTTAGGTGCCATTTTCTTCGAATGTTTGGTTGGATATGCTCCGTTCTGCTCCGAAAATCCTGGCGATACATATAAGAAAATCATCGACTGGCCGAATTACCTTTTCTTCCCTGATGAGGTCTACATCTCAAGAGAGGGCGAAGATCTTATTCGCAGGTGCGTAGATTCTCTTCCCGCTCAGCACTAATTCTAATCGTACATGCAGGATGATGACATGGGCGCAAAATCGATTGACAGTAACGCAAATCAAGACACATCCCTTCTTCTGCGGTGCGGACTGGACTTCTCTCCGAAATATCGAGCCGCCCTTTGTACCTCATCTCAAATCTATCACGGATACATCCTATTTCCCGACGGATGATTTTGGCAATCTTCCAGACCAACTGGACCAAGTAGAGTCTGTTGGCGCCGAAAAGGACCTGGCGTTCTTAGGGTATGTTTCGTTTTTACCCTCTTACCCAAGGGTTGACACATTGGCGTAGATTCACGTTCAAACGTTTCACTGGCGGCCCACAATCGTCAGGTTAATGATTACTTCTCGGGACCGGACCACTATCTTTGCTTTGCATTGCTGTCTTGTCTTTGTTAGTTTACTACAACCAACCACGCACACCGAACGGTATATGTATGCACAGCACAGTTCACATGTCTCTTGTAATAACGCAACCCAGGAATGACATATTTTCAAACACAGATGATAGTACTCTTCAAATTTTCCGTGAGTCTGATGTTCTTGCCATATCTCTGTTAGTCCGGCATATAATACGAACATTTTTACTTTGTCGGTTTGGATTCTGTGAGTTCGGAAGACAGTACAGCAAACTCAACGGCATGCCCGTATTTCCTTTCTCAGGCCCAGGATCCTTTCCCAGTAGACACAGCCATCATAATGCAGTTTTTGTTTGTACCAAACAAGCCATTGCATTCCTTTTCCCATCACCTGCTCTGTTGCATCGAATGAGTACAGAAGATCCCGAGGACATACTCTCTGGTTCTTTGCAGATACTGTACGATTACAAACCTGTAACGCTGACTTCTGCAGGCTCGGTCTTTTCTTACACCTCCGATAACATTCCAGGAAACCCGATTACCCTCCGCACGCCCGACACTCATCCATCCAACTGGTCACTGCATGCATCATCCATCTGGGCATCATCTCTGTTCCTTGTTGACCACCTGCAGCTCCTAGATCTCCCCGAATCTCCGGTGGAATCATTTCGCGTACTGGAGCTCGGGGCAGGGGCAGGGCTCCCAGGAATATCGATGGCCCGTAAACATCCCTCAATACAAGTGACAGTAAGCGACTATCCTGATGAGGAACTTATCCGGACATTAGAGGGAAATATCGCCAGGAACGACGTGCAAGGCAATTGTCGTGCTGTGGCCTATGCATGGGGATCAGATCCGTCGGCGCTCATTGGTGAAGATGGCTCTGATGTGGTAGTTGCCGCGGATACGCTCTGGAATCCGGATTTGCATGTGCTCTTCATCAGAGCGCTGCAGTCGGTGTTGAAGAGATCTCCAACAGCGCTTGTTCATCTCGTTGCGGGCCTGCATACAGGGAGATACACACTTCAGTCGTTTATCATGGCCGCCGAGAAGGCAGGGTTTGCTGTCCTACAGGCAACAGAGATGGAGACAGGTGGTTCTGATACGCGGCCATGGTGTATCTCGAGAGCTGAAGGAGAGGATGAGAAAGAGAGAAGGCGATGGGTAGTCTGGATTATCTTGAAATGGGCATCACCAACCAAGTAAAAATGCATTTACATAAAAAGTGCAATAGGTAAGTACAATTTTTATGCTTATGTCGATTATTCAATAATATCATATTTTTCAAACAGCCCTGCGAATCGGTGGTGCACCAAAGGTCATAACCTTTGCGATCATCGTATCTGTGTGCCCATCATCCTGTGAACGGTGTTAGCAAAGATCAGATCCGAGAACGGTGGACCTCACGAGGAAAAAGATTAGATTGTCTTCCGTGACGCTGAACTGCTGAAGGATCAGCCCTTCAAACGCGATGGAACGTGATGTCTCTGCCGGTGTGAATGAAGCCCGGGAGCCGATCCATGTCCAAGATTGGGTAGACTTGCTATACGAGTCGGGAAAGGGTGAAAAGTCAATGGCATGAAGACGACTCCTTCCACCATTGACTCTATCCACCTCGATAAAGAACGCCCTAGATCCAGCAATCAAGGGTCCGCGGATATAGGGCCCATACTTTCGCAAATCCTTCACCATGCAGAAGGTGCTCCAATACGACCAGGGTAGGAACCCCTTCCTCGATGGATATTTGACGAACGACTCTCGGACGAAGAGCCACTCGCACGCGGTATGCTCGGGGCGGATCTTTGCGGTGATGGAAAGCATGCGAACCTCAGGGGCAGCGTAGAAGAGGGCATTGGAAGACGGTTCGTTGTCAGTCCTCGGAGAGGCGTTGGTCGAAAACGCGAAATACGAATAACCTTTCCATGCATCGGGGAGTTCATATTGATTCACGATGGACATCTTCCCAACGTCGTAAATTCTGTACGAGTTCAGGCTGTAAGAACCCGCCTTTCGATCCTGGCAGATACCGAGGAGGTGATTTTCATCTACGAAATAGATATCAAGATCTTCTAGCCACTGTTAGGGTGATTAGCCTGTTTAATGACGCTCATGGGTCTAGATTACGTACCCTTGCTTCCAGAGTACGCCAATTCATCAGTAGGCGAAGGGTCTTCCCCCCGTGGAAATCCAAACCAACGGTGACTTTCGAACCGCAAATCAAGGTGCTAACGCCGATGACTCGCGTAGCGATTGTGGTCGAGACATCGAAAGATGGAGTAATCGCGTGACGGTGCTTCTTGTTGGTTCCGATATCCTTGAAGGATAATGAAACGCAAATTTTTCCATTGTGACTATAGAAGCACAGTTATAGAAAAATGATGTTTAGACGAAGATGCCGAAACCTACGTGAAAACGTGGCTTGTAACGAGAAGACCCTGAGACCCATCGACTGCCAAGCCCTCCATTTGTGGTAAAGTGTACTTGAGATGACGCGTTTGGGACGGAGGCCGATTCGTCCTGCAGGAGGGAAGCTCTGATAGGTCCAAGGTATTGAAAACACCGTGATTATGTATTTGAAAGATAAATTTGTCGGAGACGCCTGCGATGGCCGGCATGGGGATTTCTAACTGAGATTCGTGGGTCCATTGGAGCCTTGGCCAGTCTTTCTTGTAACTCAAAAGGAGCTGAGCGCGAACGATGGGAGGTGCACGAGCATAAGACACCGCGCCGTCTTTCATTCCCAGGACTGCCAACTCGAACCGGTACCGAAGAACTTGAAATTCCATGACGATGTTGTAGATGCGACGGAACGCCTGTCAAAGGTATAAGCGGATACAGAGGCTCGAGGCGGGGGCCACGCCACCTTGCAGGCACGCCAAAGGGACGGCGGGTCAAGATGCTCCAATATGCCGATGAGGACATCATCAGAGATTTTGTAGAAGCGCACAGTAGTGAGACGATGAGGATGCATTTCTCGCAGAGAAAATACCAGTACTGAAGCTCCCCAGAGAGATACATATCGATTTTATACTCATCCTCGTTGTCATCGTTAGAGACCAGATAAAAAGATAGAAAAAGAAAAGAAAAACGGTTGCCCATTGCCCGGCATTGTCTTCGTGGTATGAAACAGTGAAAGTCGGCGCATTCGACTCCTGAGATTTGTTGGTCGGTAGGTTGGTCATCGTAGGTAATAAAGAGCTTTTTGTGAGTTCGCTGACCCAAACGATCCAGGATTAGAGCAGGGTGCCATGTCAACAACAACGCGTGCCGCAAGACGACGAAAGGTAAAGGTTGCGTGGGGGTAGGTCCAGTTTTCGGGAGCTCGCGAGACAATAAGATCCCTTAGTTGGGGCGCGACCTTCCTAAAATGCGAACGCGGAAGTCGGGTACGCGTTTGATGCGATATAATCTTTTCTTCGAGCGCTAAAAAGAAGATAATAGCCAGGCATGAGCTCCTTAAAGATTAATGAAGAACCGTTGTGTTCCTTTTCATATTGTCTATGAAACGGTGGAAGGAAGGCTTGGGAGTCAACTTGCAAACCTTGAGGACCGGCCCGGTTTCCGAGTGCAATGTCTATGTGGCTGTGCATGCGTGACACTAACGTGACTGGCTGGCTCACTAAGCTGACTAAGCTTGTACCGCTCGGCTCAACTCCTTCCCCGTCCTCCCCGCCACGATGGTATGCAAAAAATGTGAAAAGGTACGGTCTTGTCGCGCCGCATTTCCTTTGTCAAATATCTTATTGTTCTTTGCAGAAACTTTCCAAGGTTGCAGCGCCTGATCCATTCACTTCAAGTTCTAGCAGCATCAAGGATGGCTCACGCAAAGTTGGAGAGAACAAGCTTCTTACAAGGCCAGGCAGCTCCAAGAATCGTTTTCAGGTGAAGTCTAGAATTTTCGGTTGGTATGTGTTCTAACAATACACAGCCGTATCAAGGGAAATGTAAAGATTGCAAGTCGACAGTCACCCAGAATAAAGCAAAGTACTGTCATGGTACGTTACCATTCCAGTTGCCTTTCGAATTTGTCTCCCGACATCCACTATTCGCATTTAGGGTGCGCGTACAAGAAGGGTCTCTGCTCAATCTGCGGCAAGCAGATCCTGGACACTACAGGCTATGTCATGTCGAGCAAGTAAGCCGGCAGAATTCTAGATGGATCGGAGTTTTGTTATCAATGTGTTGCTGTGCAGTATTATATCGTATCTTGTGTGTATTTCTTACTCTTTTAACGTAATGACATTTTCTCTCTAGCGGGCATATTTACAAATGCGTTACCTTGTCCATCGCTTCAAAGATCTACATGTCCCTAAGATTCAGTATGTTATCTCACGTCTGTTCCTTGGCGTCCCGCGAGGATCACCTTTTAATTGGCGATGACCGGCACCGCTGCTGATTCACCGAAACGTCCTTTTACGGGCCTTGTCTACATCAGGTTTGGGCGCCCAGATCTGTCGCAAGGCGATCCATCTAAAAAACATTTAAAGGCTTTGAAATTTTTCTGTCGACTCAAGCTACCCGTCTTTCATTCTTTCCGCCATGATCTCTACGCTCTTTTACCTCTGGTTTTCACTCCTTTTTCTTTTTTCCTTCGCGGTCGATATCGACATGGAGGGTCTACCTGACACAGGTCTCGATACTACAGACTGGGTGGATGGGGAGCTTCCCCCTCTCGAAGACATGTGGAGTCTGAATGATATGCAAATTGCTGCTAAAAATGTCATCACGAAACGCTATTATGGTGACCTCCTTCATCGCCCATGCGTGCATCATTCGCTAACATTATAGCTGGGTAGCGTCTTACAGGACTGCCGCCCTCGACGAAGTGACATATCAAGCGAACTTGAATATCTGGAAAAACGTCCGCCTCAATGGCTATAGCTTTCGGGACGTTTCAGATGTTGACCTTTCGTACGTCTGGCTTGCATGCTGTGTCGTTAGATCTACTTGCTGAGTGGTACGCAGAACGTCTATTCTAGGCTACAATTTTTCCTCTCCTTTTTTCATTGCCCCGGCTGCCAAGGCAGGACACGCAAATAAATCTGCCGAACTGTCACTGGCAACTGCTGCAGGAAAGGCAGGGATTTTATACGTCGTTAGTGAACTTGTGCCTATCTTTCGGAGTGCCGATAAACTTACTGAGTATCATGATATACATAGCCTAGTATCTCCGCCACAAAGTCCCTGGAAGATATCGCAAATGTTGCGTTGGAGGATCAGGTCATGTTCCATCAAGAATATATTTGGTCGAACAGAACCCAATTGGCCGACGAGCTGAAGCGCATAGAAGACGCGGGCTACAAGGCCATCTTTTTAACCGTTGATAACACCGGAATTGACGGCATTAGGTGAGTCATTATGAATCAGGGTAGACAACGAACTGAACTAGAACACAAAAAAATGTAGAACACGCTCGTTGCGATACACCGGCTCAACGTCTGAGTATGTTTTATTGCACCATTTCCGCGGTTGTAGGGATGCTAAAAACTCTATACAGGTCTGGCCATTCAGCGACCTTCGATTTGGCCTCCCTATCTGAAATACGTAGTCTGACATCTCTCCCTGTTGTTCCCAAGGGCATCAAAACAGCTGCCGATGCACTGACTTGTCTTGAACTCGGTTTTCCTGCTATCTACGTATCCAACCACGGTGGACGTATCCTTGATGGTGCGCCCACTGCGGTTGAAGTCCTCCTTGATATCCGTCGGAATGCTCCAGAAGTGTTTGAGCGGATGGAGGTATACGCAGATGGAGGAGTGAGGAGGGGAAACCATGTGATCACGCTTTTGGCACTCGGTGCGAGGGCTGTGGGGTTGGGCCGGAGCCCTATCTTTGCGAACATTTGGGGAGAGGAAGGTGTGTCCAGAATGATTGAGATGCTCCAAACGGAGCTAGAAACGACGATGCAGTTGATGGGGGAAAGCAATGTCGCTAACATCAACTCGAGCTATGTGGGTCTCGTTACATCACGTTTTCACCCATTCGCCTGACTTTCTCGTTCATAGGTTAACACAAAACTGGTCGAGTCGATTTACTTTGGTAATTAAGGAATAACTAATTTTTACACACTCATTAAATGGACATCTCTTTCCTTTCTCGCCTATCGGTAAAATGGATGGGTCTTCAATTTCGTTGCGAGATACTGCTAGGAGAATAGAAATATGCCGGCGCCTTGCACGACGGATTCTTCATCTACATATAATAAAATCCGGGAACGTCAGGTAACGACTTTCAAATGCAACACATGTGCTCGTGAGATAGCAGTTGCCATCGACACTTCCATCCGTCATTAAAATATTGTCTGTGCATACATGTCGTTCAAGTACAGAATACTGTACCATGAGCACCAGCTTCGTCAGCCTAGCTTCAAGCCCATTCACCTGTTATCCCACCGTTCAAGTTCTTCAACTTGTTCGGGGTTCTGATGGGGAACATGTACGGCGTGTCAATTACGGCCAAGAAGTACCGGCAGCCCATCTTTATGGATTGGATTACTCCATCATGATAGGCAAAGATCACCCGGATAATTTGAAGCAGCCGCGCGCATCACTTCCAACCACCTACTCGTCCCACATACAAGGCTATATAACATGTGGTGGCGTGTCGTGCCACCACATCTAATATGACCTAAAGATCACTAGAACACGGTACTCGAATAATACTTCAGTAATTCCAGGTTCTGACGTCAGATATGTCATCAGGGGACTACTATAAATGGACGAGGAGCATAAGTCCATGAGTCCGCCCAGCCGATATCATGCCGCTGATCAGATCATTGTGATCCCGCTTGCCCGCTCATTGTGTCGGGCACTGAGAAGCTTAACTTGATGAATTAAATCCTAGTAAATCAGGAAAAAAGCGAAAAAATTGGTGGCTTGATACAGTACTTCAGATATACAATGTATTCCGTAGTTATGATACAAAAGATTGATTTTATTCAAAATACAAACACAAAATGTAAATTATTGTGTAGGGCAGTGGCCATACACGTTGACAATTTGCTTGGGAGCACTTACCAACAGTGCCTATGCGTTGGACTATTGTCCAGGGATGGGCGACGAGCCTGCGGCGGCACATATAGGAGGACAGGAATTGGGTGGTAGGCGAGCGATGATGCTCATTGCTGTTGAGTATCGGGGAAGGGTCATGGGGGGAAATGGATGCCACGGGTTGATTCCTCGTCATCGAAAGTGGTGGTGTAGGCTTGGAGATGGTCGTACAGTGAGCGGAGGGGGTGAGACAGACTCTGATGTTAGTGGTGAACGGGGTTGGCAGCGGCGAGATCGTCAGCGATGATGGTGCATTACTTGTGGGGGCGCCCACCATGTGCGTTGGCGGTGAGTCGGCACCCGAAAGGATGTCGTATTTGGGGTCGTTGCTGGTCGTCAAGATCCTGATTTCTCCATGTCCTCCCCCTCACGTCCTCCTACCCTTCCTGTCCTCGTCATCCTTTCGTCAGTCTCCATGGCCAAGCACCAACCTCCCACTCTCCACACCTGCTCGAGCAAACTATCTCTTTCCTGCATAGATCATCGTCACTGCCGTCGTCGTCCCCGATGGACTGCTAGCATTGCTCACAGCCATGTCCGCCTAGATGGCGACCGATTGTCGATATCCCTGCACATTCAATGTTTTTTTGTGTTTGTTTTGCAGGGATTCATTGCGATTGGGGCTGATCTCCTTGTGGAGGAATATGGTGTACTGGTGAGGGTAGCATGTACTGGCGGGAAGTCGTGATGAAGATTGCTCTGATGCTCTGGAGGATGACTGACATCGCCGGTGAGTCGTTGGAGATCGCTCGTCAAGCTTTCAAGTGGGGGATGTGCAGCCTTGTTCAAGGGCTTACGCGTACGCGGCAGGTGGGAAGCAGTGAGCACTATCCTGGGCTCTTGGGGCCAAGGATCAGTCAAAAACATTATCAAAAACATCTATCAGCAATTAATATGAATAAAACATGCCTTTCCCCAGCTACTGGGTCAATGTAAGTGAACGACGATATGAAGAGGAGGGAAAATCAACACAGCCATGCCGATCATGGCAGGCCTGCTCGGACTTTGCTGGAATGTCCTCGAATTCGACGCGGAATGGAAAGAATTATGAAGAATACAGACCCAGCATTTGCTGGGGAACAAAATATTCAGGAGTGGATCATAGGTTGATGTATTTCTCTACTCATTAAAATTTCCGAGGCTCATTTATCCTCTAGATTCATGTATAGACAACGCAATGGTGCTATGCGCTTTATTTAGTCCCTCTTCAACTGTATCTAAAGCCTCACATCGCGAAACCTTAACGTCTATGCATATAGAATATGTAGAACCATGCATTGATATATCTGGAAACAATATACAATGCTGCCCTGAGAGCACCGAATGTGTATTAGACAAGACACATGAAAACGGCCGAGTGACTGTACCACGAAAATGAATTGCAACAGATTGCCTGAAACCTTGCATGGGATCGCGAGGTTTGTACAGGCAGATCGGGTTGGATCGGAAGCTTCCAATGAGACCTATATTCTTCTTTGAAGTAGAGTATAATATTTTCCTGGCCTCATGGTACTTTCACAGTCTGCTATAGAGTGATAGATGTTGGAAGCGTGGAGAATGTGTGGTGGATTAGGATTATTCAGTCAATAGAGCAAGGTAGTAAGGTCAGAATAAGATGAAAACAACATATATCAGTAATATACATTGCATTACTGACAATGTGTTTCATTTCAGGCTGTTGGAGTGCACGAATCGAGGAGGGTAGCGGTGATAATGTTCACTTGCATGTCCTCTGTCGCCCCGGTCCGACCATCTGCACAACGATTCAGTGGCTGTGCTAGTTCATTTCTTATGCTTCCACCACCACCTCACCGTCGGTTTCTCTTTCGTTGCTTCCAATGTCCGGGGAAAGGCAACTTTCATTTATTTTTATTGCTTATATGTCCCTTTTAGATCCTTTTAAGCTTCCTGTGGCTCCAAGAGCCCAGGATAGTGTCGATATCTCTCCCATCCCAGGCCATCCACCGCGCAAGCCCTCCAACGAAGCTGCACATCCTGCAAGCGATGCCGAGCACCCCAAGGACCAAGAAGTGATGCCATTACTTCTTAATGCGAAGTTATGCAACTGTAGCCTGCCTGTACACCTGCCAGCAAGCCCGCCAAGCCGCCCCCATACCCTCACATGCAGATCGACCCCAATCATGATGAACTACCGCAAATCCAACACAAAATGACGTCAAATGCGTAGGGATATCGACAATCGGTGGCCATCTAGGCGGACATGGCCATAGGCAATGGTAGCAGCCCATCGGGGACGACGACGACGGTGACAACGATCTATGCAGGGAAGAGAGAACATGCTTGGGCAGATGTGGTGTGTAGGAAGTTATTGCTTGGCCGTGGATGATTGACGAAGGCTGATGAGGGCTGACAGAGCGGGAGGGTGTGGCGAAGATCGGGATCCCGATGACCAACGACCACCCCAACTGTGACATTTTTTTTGGGTGCGGACTCACCGTCAACACGCATGATGGGCGCCCTCAAAATGATAGCCCCATCGCCACAGACACCCCCGCCGCTGCTGACCTCATTCAAAACCAACATGGAGGTCTACCGCCCGCTCCAAGCCCTCTGTAGCCTCCAAGTCCGTGCATCCCCCATTCTTGACATGGAGGATCATGATCCCAATGTCAATTTACCCCCACAGTGTCGCCATGCCTGCCACCAATGATGACCATCCCCAATCCCCATCCTTTGGCGATCCCATCCCCTCTGCTGGCCGTACGACCATCTCCAAGCCTACACCATCACTTTCGACGACGAGGAATCAACCCGTGGCATCCATTTCCCCCCATGACCCTTCTCCGATACTCAACAGCAATGAGCATCATCGCTCGCCTACCACCCAATTCCTGTCCTCCTATATGTGCTGCCGCAGGCTCGTCGCCCATCCCTGGACAATAGTCCAACGCATAGGCGCTGTTGGTAAGTGCTCCCAAGCAAATTGTCAACGTGTATGGCCGCTGCCCTACACAATAATTTACATTTTGTGTTTGTATTTTGAATAAAATCAATCTTTTGTATCATAACTACGGAATACATTGTATATCTGAAGTACTGTATCAAGCCACCAATTTTTTCGCTTTTTTCCTGATTTACTAGGATTTAATTCATCAAGTTAAGCTTCTCAGTGCCCGACACAATGAGCAGGCAAGCGGGATCACAATGATCTGATCAGCGGCATGATATCGGCTGGGCGGACTCATGGACTTATGCTCCTCATCCATTTATAGTAGTCCCCTGATGACATATCTGACGTCAGAACCTGGAATTACTGAAGTATTATTCGAGTACCGTGTTCTAGTGATCTTTAGGTCATATTAGATGTGGTGGCACGACACGCCACCACATGTTATATAGCCTTGTATGTGGGACGAGTAGGTGCTTCCAACAGCTTCCAAATTGTAAAGTTACTTTTAAAGTAGTACGATCAGAATCCTCCACTCAGGTCCCAGATTCAGTGAGGTAAGCCGGTGAAAATGTGTTGTAACCCATGCGGACAGATAGACAGACAGATCTGCTTCGGTGGGCAGTAATGCAAGATCCTGCGAGGGATATGGTCATGAGCTGAGATCGGGCCCGAATCACTTGGACTCATCGCTTGCTAGCTAAGCGCAGATGGTTTTAGCGACACGTCTCTTTTACATCTCCCGCTGCTCTGTGGAACGGCTGGTATGTAGGGGATGTAGTTCCAACAGCAGTGAAGCTCTTTTCCTGCTTGAGAGTTCGAAGAAGACTGGATAGGCGGAAGGAGTGGGTTATTGGGATGTCATCATACATTGAACACGGTATATGTCAATGGTGCCGTGAGGCGAATGTTCGGTCCCGCACTCAAAAAGCTACCTTGTTCTTTAGTATCTAATATACTCTCTAGATGGCGTTGCGGAAGAGTTCAATAAGCATTATATCATATTCTTGATGACAGAGTCAGTCAGACTCGACACCTTCTTCCCGCCTGAACTGCCAGAACGTCTAAAAGAGTAGGCATCCTGAAGAACATCTGAGATCGACCAGAGCTTCCCCAGAAAGTCCAAAATTGTTGATCCAAATATCAGTCTCGAGTGAGTGGTTATATCTCGATCCCGGGTACCTGAGGATGTTGAAACGAATGTTACGGTTTATTCATTTCTTTTCTTTTTCTTTTCCTTTTCTTATGCATTCATGCTTACTCTATGCTGCGGTCTTGATCGGACATTCTCACAGTACTATTCTTAGTCTACTCGATGTGTATTTAAGTAGAGCCTCAGCTGGTCTAAACCCCAGCTTCGGCTAAGGTTTAATCTACCTAACTCAAAGCTCCCTGTTTCGCGACTATCTGGTCGCTTCTGACTCTCCCCCTTCGCCTTTGACCTCCTAGTGTATCGTCCACCGAAGTGCGAGTGGCGATCCTTGGTTGATCTAAGTCGATAAGAGTTAGTGGCTAACATTTAGCCGAAGCTCGACACACCGTTGCCCAGCGCAACTTCAGAGAAAGAACGCTGCCCAACGATCCCTCATCATTGTATTCCCTAGTTGACCAAAACGGTCGCTAGTGGCATTTGATGTCTTTCGTCGGTGCCATCTACCTTTCAGATCGAAAAACCCCCTGCCTGACCAGAGAGGTCATCACCCTGCGTTCGTAAGGACAGTTTCATGACTGTTAGCGTATCGCGAGTGGACCAACGGTTCAGCACTTACTTCACGATTCATCCGATACACTTCTTCATCGCGGTAGCTCTTTGGGTCGTACCCTTTGACCTACTGCTCCAAGCTGCTGTAGTCGCCTGGATTATTCCCCACATCATCCACGACCCGATCTTTTCAGTTTTAACAACTGTCCTACTTACCCTCGCCCTCATCCGAGTTTGTATCGCTGCACCGATCCTAGCAGGATTGCTAGTCGCTCTGTACGGCGCATACGTACCCCTCGTCTGAGGCACAACGGACCTTTTCAAATTATCCCTAAAGTCAGCTTCATTACTAGCAGTCATACTGTTGGCCTTGACTGACCCTTCATTTGACAACGAAATCCCGTTGATGAACGGCTCCAACTACGAGGCCGACCTCAACCTGATTATCGCAACCCTCGCCGCATTAACCATCATCGCATTGACCGTCGTATGGTCCATCCTTACCGCCGGCCCTCTCAAAAGATAAGCCCATGGACGGATGCCCTTATCCGACGCCATTCCTGTAATCTCCGCACTTTCTACCGTCTTTTTCTTATTCATCTGCTTGTATTACCTCCAACGGTGTTGCCGAGAGCAGAGACGAGTACGAGCACAACTACCTTTTCATTACGTGCCGGCCACACCGGCTTATCCGCCGCCAATAATCTTCATCCCCGAAGCGTCGCAGCAAACCCTTCACGATGGCCGACCCATCACACCCAGAGGACCTGGAGAGTCCCTCTACACATCGTCGCAACCCAGCTCGGGATCCTCAGAGTCGAGCACCGACTCCTACAGAAGCGCTGATGAGCCTAAACTTCCGTGGCAACGGCAAAAACCAAAACTCTAGAGGAGTTCACGGCAAATAGCGTGTAGCGGCAATAAAGGCTTTGTTGTTGTGCGAGTGTTTCGGTGCACCTCCGTGCGATGAATTCCTCAAGAACGCAAGTATACACTGCGACTTTTCAGTCAGCGAAGTAGTACCCTTAACGATCGAGTACTAGAAAACGTTGGCTGTAAGCCGGGAAGGGTCTCGATAGATGAGAAGGAACGGAATCCGGTATAACTGGGAATACCAGCAAACCGTGAACAAAGTGACGGCAATTTAACTAGTAAAAGCCGTGGGCGAGGTTGACGGAATTAGAGAAAATGCCGTCAAAGAGCAATACCGTTGGCAAGATAACAAATACCGTGATGGCAAGAGACGAAGACTGTAGTCGAGAAACGAGAAACTGGCGGTAAAACGAAGATAAGACGAACTGGCGATGATATGAAGGGGAACTAGTGACGGCAAAACGATGGCTGGGACTGGGCTGGACTGAAACTGAAACTATACTGAGGTTAACGACGGCAAAATGAAACTGATACTAATCCTGAGTCTACACGGAGACTATCCTATACTGAAACTGACAGCAAGATACCAAATACCGTGACTGATGATCCTATACTGAAGCTGTTGACCGAAATTCCGTGACAGATGCTGCTGGCGGCAATAACGATCCTAATCTGAGTCCACACGGGGACGTAACGATTCTGAACTGAACTGGGTAAAACGATGGCGACGTAGAAGGTGAAAACTGATGAAAACGATCCTGGCTGGTGAAAGTGAAACGATGCTGGTGGATTAAAAGATAAAAGCGAGTTGTGGACACGAAATTCCATGTATTGGCGCAATATGAGCATACACCAATACCGTTAGAAGAAAAGCCGTGACAGAGAGTATAACTTGGAGTGACTATGTTGTTATTGTCTATCTCCTAGCGAGTACAAGCGATAACGGTGGTCGATAACGTGGATGATCGCTAGTGTCCAGTAACTTGTGTCTAGCAACTACTACTACACTAGCTTTTATACTACAAGTCCGGAATAAAATTAGAATACTTGAAACGAGTCCTTAGTAAGTCCTTAGTACATCGATTGGTAAGAAATGATACAAAACACATGCTCCCAGAGTTCTAAAGTAACAGCACCCACACGGTTTTACCGCGTATAGACTTAATGATCAGAAAGAATTCCCCCGACATACGGACTCTTGGGCTGCTGTGTTGCTGCGGCAAAGTACACTGAAGGTAGTACACTGAAGTAGATGCGTGCGGCATTATCTTGGTGTTGTAACAGCCTTAGTAAAGTGAGTGGAAAGGTCACGGCATTAGGTCTTTTGCCGTGGAGTTGGTACTTTGACTGTGGCATTCTTCTAAATGATGCTTGATGCTGATGTCATCGATGGCTGTGCTGGGCAATCAATGATGGTCCTAAATCCGTGAGATCTGCAATCAGGTGCCTGGTGGCATTAATGAAGTGGCGCATATTGATACGGAATACGAGCTGGGAAGGATAGTTGGCGGTAAGAGTGGGTATTGCCATGATTGCAATCGTTGACTTAGTGAAAGTCCGCTAAGTGGACAAGGCATTTATTATAATGCTTAAAATCCGCGAATTCTGAGCGTACAGAGCCTTGAGGCTCATCAGCGCCACCGAGTCAGAGTCCGTCGACATCACCGATACCCGGGGGGTACTCCTCGACCGAGGAGACTCGCCCCTACCAGGCCTCTTCGACGTCTTTCCAGTCGAGGGCGAGTCAAGTGCCGACGGAGCCCGAAGACAAGGCACCAGGCATCTGGTCACGGGCGAAGAAAGCCCTGACACCGAGTTCGAAGGCGACGAGCTCAACGACTGGGAAAGAGAGCGACTCGAAGACCTCCTCGGCGACCTCTATCCGAACGACGAGGAAGATGCCACCTATACTGGAGATCACTGGAGCAGGCGCTCCCAAACAAGTGGACAGACGCAGAGTGGGGAGCAGAGAAGAGGAGGTACGAGAAGGGAAAGGCCTGAGACGACTTCGACGAAGATTCCGGAGAGCTTAGCCTCGGAGCCTCCGCAGCTACCACCCGTTCAACTAACCCAAACGCTATTCCAGAGCCCTGG